CGCCCGGCTAATTTTTTGTATTTTTGGTAGAGACGGGGTTTCACCGTGTTAGCCAGGATGGTCTCGATCTACTGACCTTAGGTGATCTACTCCCCTCGGCCTCCCAGAGTGCTGAGATTACAGGCATGAGCCACTGCACTCAGTGCCTGATATTAGGATTCAATGAAATACATTTATCTTTGCCTATGGAGTCTCTAAACTTGTGAATTTAGTGAAATAGCTTGAACATTTTCAACTGGTAAAATTAGATCACTATAGTTGAATCATTTGGTGCAAGCTGTTAATGTGACATTCAGCTGGAATTTATCAGACTCAATTAGAAAACCTCCTCTCATTTAAATAAAACAAAAAATTGAATAGGTAGGGAAAAGGTTATATATGCTTTTTATTCTCTTTCCATTTTAGAAAGCAAATGAACATAACTGTGAAATAGATAAGTCATACTTAGTGATAAAATATCCTCCATTTTTAAGGAATAATTTCCCTGTGTTTCACATTTGATGACTTTTGGGATCTATATTTCCATTTAGATAACTGTTAACATTGTTGGTGTTTATTTTACTACAGGAAAATTGGTGAGTGTATGTGATGACAGTTACACAGTACATATTTGATAACAAGGGTAGAATAAGTCAGTTCAGTCGTGGTGGTCTGTTATCTATTTTTAGGTCTTTTTGACCCAGGAGTCTGTGACCTATGAAATCTCCACTTTTTTGGATTTGTTAAGGTCTTTTACAATGCAAAGATTTAAATTTAGATGAGTACCATACTGAAGGATATTGGCTAATGTGGTCCCAAACATAAAGGGTATCAAAGTATACAATGGGAAAAGCTTAGGAAGTTACGGTAACGTATGTGAGAGGAGAGGGGCTACAGTTAAGGAAGTTTCTTTTCTTCCCTAACTTATAACAAAGAGAATCTGAAATGTAAACTGGTATTTGCCATGCTCTGATTAGTCAGCAGCATGCCATTTTGTGAAATCATTGCTGAGAAAATGTACCAAATCTTGAGTACAGAGTGTTCCTGCATCTGATTGGAAGGGGCACATGAATTGTTTCTAAGGTATTGCAGACCCAAGGCTGCACAAATTAATGTGGAGACTTGGGGGAGGGATCCAGTCAGGGAAGGGAAGCTTCCTAGACATTACAGCTCTGTCCAGAGGCCAAATGGGAGATAAATCACCACTGGCCACCTCTCTTATTATTGAAATGGTTCAGCCCTGGGGTTTAACTGAAGGACTAACAGGGTTTTGAAGTGCAAATAGGATGGTGGAGGGTAAACCTTTTTAGGGTTTCATTTTGATGGATTTTTTTTCCTGTGTGGATTTCTGGTACAGACTGTGATCTGGAAGGGGCCCTTAAAAAAAAAAAAAGTTTTGTTTTGTTTCTGATCAGTCAGATAATAAGAACTTTCCATAGGGGTGTACTTTTCTAGCATGCATATTGATTCTATTGTGTTTTAATGTAGATCATTTAATTGGATCTTTTTTTGAGCCTTCTGCAGTGGAGCTGTCATTTCAAGGTCACTTCTCTTTCTTGTTATTAATGCCAAAGTTTGAAAGTGTTGAATGATGTGGTACTTCTGGATTAATAGATTTTGGGGGATTACTTAGGGCCACTGTGTATAAGGCTTTGTTTATAAAGTCTTCTAGTTAAAGATCCAGTCCATATTAGAACAAATATTTTACATAAGTGTTCTATAATTATTTAATCTTTTTTCTATTGTGATATCATTTTACATACTCATTTTTTTATTTTGTATGTATTCTGCTTTGCCAGCCTTAAAAAAAAAAACAGAAAATTCTGAGATTATGAAACATTATACTATGTTATTTATGAAAGATACATTGAAGTGTTTGAGGAAAGAAGAGAGACATAAAAATGTTTAAATAACTGATATGTTGATTTATATAAGTTGAAATTTTTTTTAACCTTCTCCCCACAAGTAATTCAATCACAGGAGACAAAATATACTTTAAAATTTGTTTTTTTTTTTTTGGAAAGTGGAGAGGAGAGGAGTCATTAGTAACGCCAGAGAAAAATGATTGTAGCATAACTTAAAGGCTTTGTGTACAAAAATTTTAGAGAAAAAATATTTTTATTAAAGAAATGCTGTATTTAGATTTCTTCTTAGAAATACTGTTGATGGAAATTTTCTTAAGCATTTTGACTTTTTATTTTAGATGTAACATAAATATTTGTATCATTTTCCCTTTTTGAGAAAAATAATGTATTTAGCTCCAACAGAGGTTTTCCTGTGTTGCTCGATATCTATTATAAAAACGGGTTGTTAATCTCCATAATTGGCATTGACCACATGATGTTCTTAATTGACCTCCAGGTTAGTTTTTGTTTTTATGTTCTTTGAAATTTTCCCTTCACTGAATTTATCTGAATGTTAGAGTTCTATTTACTTCCTATTGCTGTCTGATGGTTTTAAATAAGATGTTTTAAATAACAGCCACAAGGAAAGTCCTAGAACCTAGATGGCATCAAGCAGAGTCTCCTGTATCTACAGCTTCCCTGTCATTAGTTTGTTGCTGGGAGATGTTAATATGACCTTTCCTTTGTTAGAAAAGAGCTCTGCAGCCCTTCCCAGAATCCTCTTGTAAAATGTCTTTTTAACCCAAGTTAGAGATTGTCTGATGAATGAATGGTGAGCTTTTTCAAATGTGCTGCACATATTGTTGACATTGTCACAGGTTGCTTTTTAATTTCTAATGTGTTTTTAATTTGCAAAGCATGCATGTGCCTGTCACGCAGTAGAACTGAGTCAGCATTTCTGAGTCCAGATATTGCTATATGCAAACAAGATAGTCAGGCTTAAGAATGCTGTGTGGCAGACTTAGATCTCCTGAAACACTTGTGAATGAATTTCACTTTGAATATTGATGAATAAAAGAAGATACTTGAGAAAGGCTCCCCTGCCCGCCCCCACCCTCAAACACACACAAGAACTCCTCTTGCCTATTGGTGAGTGAATTGCCCCAATATAAAAGCACTGGGTGGGGAAAAGTGAGTTACAGAGTGAAAAGGCAATCCACAAATAATCACTCTTTTCTGCCTTTGATTGTGTCAGATTTTTTGTGTGTGTGTGGCAATTGTTTTCTTTTTTGCTTAGAAGAGGTTTATGGTCCAATGTCTGTCAAGTCAGCCCCTGTCTTAAGCTTGCAGTTGTATTTCTCTCTGGAGTTCCTGGAGGTGATGTTATCTTTTGTTCACTCAGCAGTGTGGTCGTTCCTGAGAGCATCTGTCACTTTAGGCATTACAAGATGGATGGGTCTCCAGTGAACTGCTGGTTGAAGCAAATGGTGAAAATAAGAAAAGTCAAGGGGTTTCAGGGTCTGCAGAGGGGACAGACAACAAGGAAACACTGTTAGAAATCAAGAGTAAGCTGAGCAATAGAGGAAGAGAGCAAAGATGGATCAGATGTCATTTTATAAACATCTTGGAAATCAGAATCTTTTGGCTTTCGTGATCTGAGGGAGACAGCTGCATCATGGTAAACAATTCCATGCTTTGGATTTGCAAAATGTGTTTGAATATATATTTTTTAACCTTGGTAAAGTGTTGGGAAATAATCATAATGATACAGAATATATTATGTGAGGATTTTGCTGTTTGGAGATTTAGTAGTCTTTTCAGTGTTTTAAAGATTAAATTAGAAATCTAAGCTTAAAATTTTTGTTTTGTTTTCTCTTTTTTCTTTCCTTCCTCTTTTTTTCTAAATTTTCTTTTTGTAAACAAGTGACCAAGCACAGGCATTAAAATGAAAAGTTTTGGCCACATAACTAATACTGTTTACTAAATGCTTTTTGGCACTTTCGTAGAGGAATTCTGAAAATTCTGTGCTCAGGCTTTTGGGAGGCTGGGGACAGATTTTAAGTTATTTTCAGTAAACTTCAACTTAACGGGTTCTTTGGTCAAAAAAAGAAATATAATTGTTATTGATCTGTCAGAACAAGTTGGAGATTTATATTGTATTTAGAAATACGTTTTGTTGGTGAAGGTCAAAATTTGTAAATCCTGGCTAATACAAAGTCCCTCCTGTGAGAGACAAGGAACAGGAAGGAGGTTGGCCAGGGAGTAAGAAAGGAGAAGAGGGGGCAATATGATTGCAAAAAAAAAAAAAAAAAATGATTTTGTCAAACTTCTTGGCATTTGTCTATGAAAAAGACCATAGGTTGAAAGGCAAAGAAATTAAGATGATTAGAAGCTTTAAGCTATACAAATGGTTGAGTATCTTCCTTCTCTATGGGTGTAAATAATAGATGAAAGAGTAAGAGTGACAACAAAGGATCAGGTCGTTTAAGAGAATGTGTGCAGCCTGAATAGGGGTCTGTGGCCCAGGGCCAAAGGTCTTAGCTTTGAGTGTAATTAGAAGAAAATACAAAAATGTCATTACTAACAGGTGAAGTGTGCAGCACGTGGCCAAAAATTAGCAATTTTAGACTCTGAAGCTATTGGAATTAGATTACTGACTTTTTTTTTTTTTTTTTTAAATCATTAGGGTCCTTGTGGAGTAATATGGTTTCATTGGCAGTAATGCAGTTTGACCTTGTTGACCATATGGGGTAATCTTGGGTTTGGATGTAGGTAGCAAGGCTCCTGCTGACTTAGGAAAAGATGTCTATTTATGTGTGGGCGGGTGGGATATATGTGAGTTTGAAAAACTAGACCTTCCATTTTTAATTATTTTGCCTGAAGACCTTCTTCTGACAGTAAGAGGTAAGATAAATACTTTTATTCAAAAAATCTAAAATTTTTTTTCTTTCTTTCAAGTTGGCATAAGAGAAAAGTAAAATGAAAAAAACATTTTTGGACAACATAAGTTAATTCTACTTCAAATATTTTAGTTCTATAAATATTCATATTTAGTTCATATAAATATTCAAGAAAGAAGTTAGTTTCTTAGGAAAATCCTCTTTTGTTTTCTTTTTAAACACAATAACAAAGGACTAGAAATGCTTCTGTGTTATCTATAAAAATCAATGACAGGTAGCTTTCATTTCACTTTATGTTTTACAGCTATATTTCCTATTTTCCCATGTAGTTTATATTGACCATGTATATATTTCCTATTTTCCCATGTAGTAGTTTATATTGACCATAATCTATTTAGAGGAGAGATAAATATGCGTACTATAATTTTCAACCAATTATATGCAATTATAATTATTTAGTTTAATATCTTCTAGGAATACGCTACTCAGAAGGGTAGGAAAAAATAGCTCTTTTTCTTTTTGCAGGCTTATTGGAAATTATTCAATCAATATTAATTATGTTTTACATTTTTGATAGTTCTTTGAGTAGATAAATTTGGCTCGGGTATCAGAGATTATTACCCTTAAATTCCTTAGGTAAGAAAATTACCTTCCACTAATTTCATTCCTAAAGGTCATCTGTTGGCTTTTGATATTATGGTAACATCTGCCACAAATGCAGACTTGACAGACTTATTCAACTTACTTTTAGTGGGGGAAATCATAAGAACAACAGAAATTATCCTTGAGTATATATTATAATTAGGAGTCATTATTTTGAGACTATTGAGAAAGGTGGAGTATCTGTATATTTGCTCATTATAATGTATATGGAGTTGTAAAGTGTAAGACTTTGATAATTTCTAAGTGTGATTTTCAGAGAATTATAAATATTTAGATTATTATATAATATGTATTTGGAAATTAACTCATGTCTTTATATGTATTTTTTTATTTTTTATGTTTTTGCAGGTGCACAAAAAGCTTTAAACAAGTTAAAATCTAGGCAACAGACTCCCTGAAGTGTTGACTGCCCAACTTAATCATGACTGTGATTCAAAAATGTTATTAAATAAACCAAGGTATTGTACAATTATATATGCCCTTCCCCAATTGTTCAAGATCAAATTGTTTTAGGAAGTTGTATTTTAAATTTAAGTAAAACTACTATGTTTGCTCCTTAAAGTAAGTAAGAGCTCCTCTCCTTCCCTGCTTTCCTCTCCCCTCCCCCGTCCCCTTATCCCAGACCAGAAAGCTTCTGCAGTGAGTTCTTTCTCTCCAACAGCCTCTGTATTTCCTATATACCTAAATTAAGACAATATGAATTCAGTTCTTTATTCCTTTTTGTTGATTATGATTTTGTCCTTCAAATTGTCTAATAAATGAGACTTGTAGATTATAGGCTTCTGCAGAAATACCCAGATTATCCCTATTGACTGCACATATTCGTCTTATGTAACACTATCCTGAGATGTATGTTCTAAAGATTTTATAAAGGTTTTTTTTTTTTTCTATTTTAGGAGGCTTTTAATTTAGAAAAGGAAAAAGGTGATGTTCCCCACTCCCCAACAAAGAAAATCAGATGCTTGCTTAGAACTGAGAATTTAAGGCTACTGTTTAGGTAACTCCTATCTGTCAGAAGGGGCATATATATCCTAAGACTGTTTCTCTCCTTTTGGAAGTTACAATGTGCTTAAATAGCCTGGCATTTCCAAGAGAGGCCAAAGATCTTTTCCTCTTTTATAACACGTTGTATCCTTTTGAGGCCAAAAAGAACAAGAGGGTCATTGCCACTTCAGCCTGGTCCCTGTTTGTTCCTTCATGGTGACCACGCAGATACTGAAACCCAGGATGGGCTTAACATTTGGGCCTGGAACATCTGGAAAATGGTCAGAGAGGGAGCGGAGGAGGCAGAAGAAAGAGAACTGTTGCATTTTGTTTCACCAGGTGCTAGGAGGAAGCAACATTAGCCTTTTTGATATGGGAGGCACATTCTGTGGACCCTGGAGTTAGGCTGCAACAATTGAGGAGGTCAAAGGACAGCTGAGTGGGGTCAGTGAGACACCATGGGGTGTATTTTGTTACTTAGTAAAAGGAGCAGCCTCCTAAACCTTAAAGGATTCTCTTGAAAATCTGTGTTGTGAAAAGGTTTTATGAGTCTCATGGCAAAAACTCCTGATTTATCTAAGGAATGCTCGCTTTTGTCTGATGGAAGGATAATCCTTACCAAATGTTGGCAATGTCTATAAGAGTCAATATAGGTCTGAAAGAACAATTGGAGTTTGAAGTGTACTTTGCTTTTCAAAATGTTTATCATTTTAGTGTTTCTCTCTCAGGAAGAATTTTGCCCCGTTGAAATATCACCTTGTTCTTTCCTTGGAGCAGAAAGTGGTAGCGGGTGGGGAGTGAGGGAGGGTGGAGGGGGGAGAGGTAATCCAGGAACCTATATTAATTTAAAACTCATTCTACAAGCTTTTGGCCTAATCTGCAGACAAGGTATTATTATTAAACCTTTAAAAACACTAAAACTTGTTAACTCTAAAAAGTAATCTTTGAATTTATTTTAACTTATGAGGAAAATGGGTGGCACATGAAGTATGTTTCCGGAATTCAAATTTTTTATTTAGTTGTTGATAGTTGATAGAAGAGGCTGTCAGTTGACAAATAACCTTCAACCTTGTGCTTCTTCCTGAATGTGGTCTAGAAGAAAATCAGTGTCAGAGTCACGAATAGAGAATAAGAAAAGCAATACAATAAGGAGTTTTCTCTTTGAAGGGAAATGGAGAAGGGAAAAATCTGCATGTTGTAAAAGCTCTCTTTACCACAACCCATGACCTCAAGAGACCGCTTGTATGATTGTGGATACCTTTGAAAGGTATTAGCCACCTGACAGGTTGTGAAAGGAGACTGTTAGAGGAATTTGGCAGTATTTTGATATTCCAGTTTATATACTATCTTTTATATTCCAATCTATACACATATATAGAGAGAAAGCATATATTACAATGTATATAATAAGGAAAGAAAGATAAAATGATAAGGAATATAATAGGCCTTGCTAATTTATAAATTTACGATATCTACTAATTGTGTGTGACTTCTTTTGAATTTTTGATAATCACTTGTGTTAAAGAAACATATACATAAATGTGAGGCTTAGCACGTAGTCTGCTCTTTTTCTATTTTCTCAAGGTTAAAGCACCTTTCAACAACTAATTTAGAAACCTAAGTATAGTGACTGATAATTGCCTAGAGAAAACCCACAGCTGTTTAAGTAACCTTAAAATTGTGGCAAAACTGACAAATACGATTAGCAATGTTAATAAGCTAAGAAGATGGAAAGACAGGAGCAGATGACAGAGTGGAAAGATGGAGGTAGCAAGAAATCATAAAAGAATAGAATGTTTAAGAAAAAAAAAAAACAGAATGTTCATGGTTGCTTTGAATTTACAGTGCTTTTTCTTTCAAGCAAAGTCTCCCTCTTTTATTACTTACTCTCTGAATTATCAGCAGAATGTGTGCTTTGCAGGTTGAATAATTCAAATACATTTGTTCAGCCCCTAATTCACATCTGATTTTGAAAAAAGACAGCTATTTGGCAATAGTATTTAAGAAAAACCATCAAGTTTTGCAGATTCTAAGGCACAATTTGATTTGCAGTACTTTTTAGAAGTCAGTTTTAAACGTACTTCTGTTTTACTGTAATTACTTTGGGAATTTATTTACCCCTCTTTGTACCCTTGTAATGCCTAGTCACTCAAATATATTACACAAGAGACCCTCTTTCTGGGTTTAGTGACCCACCATTATCAAAAACAAAACAAAGCCAAAAAAAACCCGGAGAAGTATTTAATATGTTATTATTACTAATTATATTTATCTGGCTAATGTTCATAGCCAACTTTGCAAACAACTTCTTTGGGATAATTAAATGGGGCTGGGTAAATAAGAGAAATTAGTTGAGTGTTAGCTGGAAAATATTTAGTTATCTGTGCCCTTCCCACTATTTAAAGCATCAGATGAAATTTAGAAAATTATTGTAGTATCTTTTGAAATTCTACTCTGCATTTGGGAAATTGGCAAGTTGTTTTTTGCCTCTGGTGTTTTATGCAGATTTTAATGATTGTTGTGATAAATCCCCAGAAGTTTGTTTTCAGAAACCATAGAGACTATGAACTCTGAATGTGACAGCGTTGAAAGATGTGGTGAGCCACACGTTGGAAGCATTTCTTGTTATTTAATGTTTTCTGTTCTGGATTATTGACTGTTCTCCCTGTTGAAAAATTGGTCTCTGGTGACATGGTAGAGGTCACACGTTGCCTATTATTGTTTTGCTTCTTTGATCTTACACAAGGATTGCCTCTGGTAATTATACTAGTTCCAGAGAGTCTTGACAAGAGGTGTTTATTTTACAGAAGAATTTCTGGCATTTCAAGGAAGAAAGTAAAGATTTCCAGTGGTAACTTGTACTTCTTTGTTACAAAGGAAAAATAGCATTGTAATCATGGTAGTTTTTTATCATTATTATGAAATTAGTTAGCATAGTACAATAACTATTTCTAAAACAATTTAATATATATTGCATATCTGTAAGTATATTGCTAAAAAGGGTAAATTTTAGGATTAAGTTACTAGGATTGGGTTTTTATTTGAATACCTAAAATACTTTTGACTTTACAAACTATCAAAAGAAATTCTTCCAGCCTGGCCAACATGGTGAAACCCTGTCTCTACTAAATAAGTACAAAAATTAGCTGAGCATGGTGGCACGCGCCTGTAATCCCAGCTACTCAGGAGGCTGAGGCAGGAGAATCGCTTGAACCCAGGAGGCGGAGGTTGCAGTGAGCCATGATTGCACCACTACACTCCAGCCTAGGCAGCAGAGCAAGACTCTATCTCAAAAAAAAAAAAGAAAAGAGAAAAAATAAATTTGTCCAAATTTCCAAATTTAAATGTACAAAACTATTAAAGGAGTTTAAAAGTTTTGTCTTTTAATCTGTTTGCAGTTTCTAAACATCCTCAGCAAGAAGGATGAATAAAAATGAAATAAAACACTTCTGTTTTGAAGGCATGGTTAGCTTTGTGCTTTTACGGAATGTGCTTGGGAAGAGATACCTCTTCAGACTTGTTTAATATATAATTGGATAAGACACAAAAGCTCAATTTATTCATTTTTTTGTTACTCAGTTCCAGCATTAAACAAAATATATGTCCCCGAAAACTCACAATCTACTGGGGGAAGTTAGACAGATACTAGACCAAACTAACTATAATGGAGAGTGACAAATATCAATTTAAAAGAATAAATGAAATGCTCAGAGAGCACAAAAGAGAGAGAACAAGAATATGTAATTGTTTAATATTTTGGATTTGAGACTCTGAAAACTTACAGGAAGTATGTTTGGTTTCCTTGTCTAAGAGTCATACATTATTCCCTCTCATCAGGCAATATTTTTAATAGAGAAAGAGCATGTAAGCAGAAATACAGTAACAAATAATTTTCTTATACAAAGAGTAAGAGACAGTCATAATCTATCCTATACAATCATTTTACAGATGAAGAAATTGAGCTTGAGAGCAGTTAGGGGACTTGTTCAAGGTCACATCAGTAGGGACACAGCCAGGCCTCTTAGAACTTAAGAAATCTTTTATCTCTCAATCATTGTACATACTCTAGAGTTGTACTGTTCAGTATGACAGCTACTAGTCACATGTAGCTATTTAAATTAATTACAGCTGGGCGCAGTGGCTCACGCCTGTAATTCCACACTTTGGGAGGCTGAGGCGGGTGGATTGCTTGAGGCCAAGGTTTCGAGACCAACCTTGCCAGCATGGTGAAATCCCATCTCTACAAAAATTATGAAAATTACCTGGGCAGGTGGCACATGCCTCTAATCTCAGGTACTTGGGAGGCTGAGGCATGATGCAAGGAGAATCGCTTGAGCCCCCGAGGTGGAGGTTGCAGTGAGCTGAGATCATGCCACTGCACTCCAGCCTGGGCAACAGAGTAAGACTCTGTGTCAAAAAAAAAAAAAATTAATTACAATAAAATAAAATTGAAATTTTAGTTCCTTAGTCACAC